AAAAAAAAAAAAAAAAAAAAAAAGAAAAAAGAAAAGAAAAAAAAACTCTCTACTCTGCTCCAATGGAACGAAGGAGGAACAGAACGAACTGGATAACGAGAGAATTGCATTACCGCAGATGCGGATGTACCACTTGATAAAACTCGCTCATAGGTTCCGTGTTGCGCTTGTTAATCGCCTTTTATTCCCGGTTGCGTTCGAAACGATCGCCTCCCCTTGCACTCGCACGCTTTTCGACGACTTTGAACCCGGGTAAACTGATACGCAGGAGGAGGAATCACTTTGAGTCAGAGTAACGAGAGATGGCGGTTCCCGCCTCTCTTTGAAACGCGATCGAAGCGAAGATATGCCGAGTCTAAAGTGTCTTTCCGTTTGGAACGAATGTTTCTTGGAGAAGGGGAGAGAGAGAGAGAGATCGAAGGGAAGTTCCCTGTCTTTGATTAATTGATTGATTGATTGATTTGATTGTTTCTTCGACAAATAGATGTCTCACCCTTGATTCGAACGTGTGTGGTAAAAATTAATCTATATTCGCGTTGTGTTGATGTTTGAAACGATAAAAATGTTTATTAAAGGGATTTGATACTATATCTTGCATTAATGATAAATTAATATGAGTTATCAATCTTAATAAGTTTGTATTGATAATTGGAATCTGTTACTTGGAAAATTGTTATAATAAAGGGGTTTCTCTTTTATGGAAATAGGAGAATGTGAAAATTGATTAAAAGAATAAAAGACTATAGAGGAAAAAATAAGATTATAAATGGAGAAATAATTTTGAAATACTTCAATAATTTCTCAATTTATCTTATTTTCCTAAACTTCAACAATTAGAGGTATGCTTGGTAAATATTTAACAAGTTTTTTTAACGTTAAAATGGTTCAAACAAGAGGATTAACTTTATCGCCCTTTTAAGTTGGTTTAGTATCTTGTGGTACTGCTAACGTGATCAAAGACGATAACATCAAATAACTCTAAATAATTAGATAGATCCGTAAACATCTCTTCACCCACGCAATGTACACAGAGCCGAGCCTAAGGTGCCTGGTTACAGGATAGAAGCCACTTTAACTTTAGTCAAGCCGAATATGTCAACCTTGTTCAATTTTAATTTTGTTTCTCAGTTAATTCAATTCCCCAGAGTTAACGTGTAAGTCAACTTTTGCTTAACAGTTCTAAAAATTGTCAATCTATCTACCTATGCAATTTCTCTTTTACGTTAAATTCATGTTTTTGAAACATATATTTTAATTCAAATAATAATTGTATTACAAATATTAAATTTTTTACAATATCGATTCTTATTAATTGTTATTATTTATATATTAATTTATTTTCCAAATATGCGATCAGAAATTTTTGAACAATTACCCTTTGGAATTTTATTACAATTCATTAAGATATGAAAATTGTTTTCAATTAACGAATAACGATAATTGCAAAATTACATTTAAACGAAACATTTTACAAGAAACTTTAACCAGCAATTTTATCACGTACATCTTTCACAAGATGATGATAGTTATAATCTTTAAGGGCGTCACTCTGGAAACTTTAATTCGCTATCGTTATTACTTCTACAACTTTTAAAATGTTTCGTACAACCACGTTTTGCACCAATCTTTATAACTAGTTACCGAACTTTTCTTAAATCGAGAAACGTGTACTGATATTTCAGGAACTTGTAACTATCTCTCTTCCCTCCATTTACATCCAATATTATTCATTATATTAATCTCTTTGTTTATTCATAACAACTCGTGTACATGTTAATTACTCGCCGAGTTTGTTAATTTCTTTCCTCTTTTTCGTTATTAAAAATAACAAACGTCAGAGAAACAATCCAGTTAAATATATTTCTCATCCCCACCCTTCACCCCCTATAGTATAATTTCTCATTTTATCGTGTTTCGCCATTCGAAACAGTTCATTAAGATGAACTGATAAGCGTTTAATAAAGTTACACTGGAGACCTTTTATCATCTAACTCGATGCATACGTACGATCTGCATAATGAATAATAAGAATAAACTGGTAAGAAGAAGAAGAAGAAACTGAAAGATAAATTATAATAAATAACGTGTACAACTGAGTGAAAAAAATATCGCCTCACTGAAACCTGCATATAACAACCTTGCTTGTTTATCTCTCGTTATATTAACTGTAATTACTGAAGGTATAATTGCGCCTAATTACTGTCGACGGTTAATTAGCATAAGTTCGCTCGTAGGATTCACGATATTTCTAACGCCATCAGCCTATAGTTGGAGGAAAACATTTATTCTCGAGTAAATTAGAGTCGTAGGTGTATAAATGCGACAAGTGATCAACAGCGTTGTAAAAGGAAAGTTCGTTTATAAGGAAAATTTATAACGAAAAGGAAGTAAACTTTGATATATTCTGGATATATAAATGGATATTCACGAACGAACTTGGAGGATGTTTGTAAGTTTTGTTACACTTTGGTTGCTATAAGTTAATAAGAAATTTATGTTAATGTTAATCGAAAATTATAATAATGTTCCTAGAGTTGTTGATAAATTGTTGACTTGTGTTATTTGTTCGAATTTGTAACGATGATGAAAAATTATCGATTTGTATTACGTGTCTGACAAAATTAAAATCGTTGATTTATACTTGTTTGAAATTTTTGTTTATGCACTATTAATATGATCAATAATCTCTACTACTTGTCTGAATAAACTAATATACTTAGTCTGATAAATATTCAACCTGTACCTGGAGAAATAAAATTTAAATAAAGATATCATTTGCCAAAATTAAGCAATAATGTGTAATAATAAATCTACACATTTTGAATATTTTAATCATGTTAATTTGGATATTATTCATGGAAAAGAATAATTATATGTGAGAAAAAGATGTTTTAAGATAAAACTTACCACGAACACAAGATGCAATCCTCCACCGATGTTAGAGGTAACCTGAAACAAAGATAATTACTTGGTTAGTAAAATTTCCATACTTCATTGTTTCCTCAATGTTTTAAATTTTGTTAATTGCATTAAAAAAATTTTATGCACTTTTACATACATCCTGGAATGAACTAGATAGATAATTCTGACCTGAAAAGCCAGCAGCTCTCCATAGATTGTCATTAAATCCTACCATGGAGAACAAGGTTAGTCTAGTTTTTTATGCACATGAGAACTATGTATCTGTTTCGTTGGAAAGGTATTGTTTTAATATATGAATCTGCGTATATGCAGAACGAGTGCAGAATATATATCAGAAAAAAATAGGTTTGGTTAGATATGTTGGATCTACTTATCTTAATCATTTTTTCAATTATTTCTGTGATTAATTTTATATTATAAATGTTTGAAATATAAATAATTATGAAATACTTAAGAAATTGATCTTAATAGATCTTTTTAAGTCTTTTTTTTAAAGTCTTTTATCATAAAAATTTAAAATATAACAAGCGAATATAATTTCTTCTAACATATTTTTAAAAAATATGTTGTTCACTTTTTATCAATTTAAAAAAATTTATCCATATGGCTTCCTTTTAATTTCACTTACAATTCATTCCTATTTTTATCTACTTAGATTAAAATTAGATTAAAATTTTCTAACCTGAAAAGATTCTTTTGTAAAAATGTCTATAGAGATTAATAAAAATATAAAATACCAACAAAATTGTAAATAAATTTATACTCTCTCTACATACATATAAATACGTGATCTCGGTATTTATTTTTCCCAGAAAGCATTGATGCAGCGCGGGACATTTGAATTTCATGCATAAAGACGCAAAATGTGAAAGCAGAGCAAAGATACAGATATTATAAACACCGGCACGGATGAATCTTTCGCGATCAACGTGACGGAAATCGTTAAAAACCAAGACAGAGAAAATCCGGGGATAAAAGAAAAGTGGATCGAAGGGAGAGATCGTTCGATTCTTGGAAAGTCGTTTAGCAAATACACTTTCGAGCTTTACTTTGCCCTCGATCGAGCAACTCCCTCCTCTCGCCGGATTGCGAGATGAGGATGGAAGAGCGATCGAACCGGACTGGCCACTTTGCTCAACGAATTTTCCACCGTGAGTCGAGTAGTCGTTTCTCATTGTCCGTGCACGCAACTTCGAGGCCACGTTACATTTCCTACATTTACCATTACATCCCTGCAATACCATCAGACCGATAAGGGAAAAGTTTATTTAGTTGGATTTCGTGGTTTTTCGATTTTTCGAGATTACATTGAGTTGTATTCTAGAAGAACGAGTTGTTACTCTACAATGTATTCGAGCGAACGTTATTTAAAAATAATTTGTTTCAAATAATGGCTATTTTTTCGACAAGTGAAATGCGATAAGGGAGGTTATATTTTTTATTGGGTTGATCAAAGAAATTCGAAAATTTCTGGGGTACTAAATTTATTGGGTACTAAAATATTATCTTGGGAACAAATTTAACTCGATTATTCGAATTGCTTTATTAAGGTAGGTAGAAAATATAATTTGAATTAAATTAAATATCGAATATTAATTGAAATAATTTGTTTCTAAATTATTATTTAAAATAAATTTCTAATTAAAATTCCAGATTTAATTAGCACGAATACTATTGCTTTTATAAATTGTAAACGATCTCTCTAAATAATTTTAGCTATTGTGAAAATTGAAATGAATATTGAAGTTTAATTCAGTCGAAGCAATAGTATTGTTTTTTTTAGTGAATTATAAATAATTTATTAATCCTATTGCTATTTTAAATATGATGATTATCATGATGAATTTCAAAGCTTCCTTAAATCCTTCATTAAACTCTAAAAATATAAAGTAAAATTATTTATTCCAAAAGTTTCTCCTTTCAAGATAAACTTATTCCTCGATATTTCCTAATTATTAGAAAATCTTTCTCGTACAGAAAGAAAAGACGCAGAACAATCTTATTAGAACGTCGATCCATCCTTTTAAAATTCTTATTTAAAATTCCATACCCTCATTCCTCCACAATTACTTCTTCTCCCTCTTTATTTTCACACCTAGTATTTCTCATTTAAATGATAAACAACGCTACGCGGTTTTAAACGAACGCGCATAAATAATGCAAAGGTTTCTGGGATTCCGGAATACCGAGAACACGCAAAAAAGGAAGAGGCAGAGAGAAAAAAAGAAAAATGAAAAAAAAAAGGAGAGGGGAAAAAAATCCAGGGATCATAATGCACGTGTACGATATATCGCAGAAATTCTGAATCTGCGACACGCGTGTGTGAATCCACCTTGCGGTACGTGTCTAACGAAATCCCTATCGTACTTGTTCGAATCAATGCACGGTACAGAAATTGTTCCCGTTCTATTCAGTCAAGGAAACTTGGATGAGAAAGCGGGAGTAACTTCATTTTTGTTTTAACCGAGATCGCGTACACACTTGTGTGATATCACTAAAATAACGAGATACGAAATTTTTTATTTGAATTTTGTTTTAATTATGTTAGATTTTTTTTAAATGAAAATTTACGTCTGATCGCGACTTCTTTTTTTTTTTTTTTTGAGAAAAATGTTACAAGAATTGTTACAAGAATTATTATATTTGGAAATCTCACATTGTGATCGAATTTAGAATTGTTTTTTTAATTTAAATCAATTATTTTATAAAATCATTTGAATTGAAGAAATGGATTAACGTATTATAATAATAAAAGAATTTTTGTGAGAGGTATGTAGTTAATATTAAAGTGTAATATTTATTTTTAACTGTCCGTGATGCGTTTCAATTCTTGTTACGAATATAAATGAAAGCTCGTTTAGTACAACCAAGGCTTCATTTATCATTCTCTTCTCTCATTCATTTTGCATTCATTGGATTAAATGTAATTCTCTGGAATAAGAAAAAGCGATTATGATTCGAGAAGATATTTCTTCACATGCTGGATACTTGAAATGAAATAGCTACAAAGTATAGCTATATTTTAATATAATGTTAAAATAAGAAGAAAGAATTAAAAATACTTTGTTAATTATTAAAAATTGAAAATCTAACAAAATATAATATGTTTTATATACTTTCTCAATAGCCAAAATTTTTTCTAGTAATATTGTACATGATTCTAATATTTATATTTATATAATTTAACTTAAATATCATTTAATTACTTCTATCATTAATTTTTTTAAAAATTAAATGTATATATATTTATATTCACTAACTTAATTTTTTACTAATGTGAAATTTTTCTTAAAAAAATTTTAATATTGCAATTTATTGATATTGCAATACTAACATCAATGTATATTAAGACTATAATATGTAAACTGCAAATATAACTATATTATCAAATAACCTGCCTTAATGTCTTAATTAAGAACAAGCTCCCCTATCTCAGCCTTTGCTATCTCTGGAGTGCTCAAACTAAATGCAATTCAGTAGTCGAGGTCAGCGAGAACTGAGATTCTCATGTACATCTAACTCAAAACGCATTAATCATAGCTTTCACGATATCCTCAGTATCCTTGGGGTAAAATAAAATGTATAATAAATTTTCAAAATAACATATTTTCATAAAAAAAAATAAAAATATCCTTTCAATCAATAAATTCTAAAATTATAAAAATCAAAAGTTTAAAATTAAAAATCATATCATAGAAGATATATTAAAATTTATATTGCAACATGTTTTAATCTTATTGTTTCATAATCTTTTGACAGAAATTATTAACAATATACATTATTTTTGTTAATAATGAACTTAATATAACTTCTTAAGTCTATAAATTAGAAAATACTTTTTTCTTCGAATAAAAGATGTTTAGAATAAAAGGTGTGAATTTATCATGTTGACCAATAAATTGCTTGAAAAAAAAGAATCTAAGCTTAACCTGATCTATCGATTCTAAACCTCGATTCTAAACCAACAAAAAATTACGACTCCTTTTGAAATAATCCTCTTATGAAATTCTTTTATTTCTCGCAGATAGTCAGAGAGAGGAAGATCTTTAATCTCTGTCTCACATTCCTGGAGAAATACTTCACATTTCCTACGTTCCAACACGTGTCGATTGTTCAGATAAAGTTCTCTTCATCACATTAGTATCATCTTTATATAGCAAAGAATATCGTAGTATTTGAAATATCGTATATCATAATGACATTATTAGATTAATCTTTGTATTGTTTTTTTTCTTTTTTTTAGATGATTGAAATATTGGAGATACATTAAATTGATATATTAAATCTACTTTTAAATTCAAAATTAATATAAGAATCCACTAATGTGATGAAATGATAATATAATTAAATTTTTTCAATCAGTTTCGAAATGGAAGATATGATTAACAATTTGTATCCAAGATTAACAAATAAATTGCACTATTGAATCTACTAACATCAATCGATTAAAATAGATTAAATTTTGAAGTCAAGAGAATTTTATTGATCCACGTTTCTAAAAGTAAATCTAAAGATGTAGATCTTGATTTCGATAATCGATTATATCATTGTACGATCTAAGGCGATAGCCTCTTTCAAAAGTATCATTCTAGCTATTAAGTCCAAGAAGAATGCAAGAAAAATCCTTGTGATTGCAAGCTTAAGTTACAATCGTGAGCAGAATTACGTTCTAGGCTTGACCATTTCGTTTCTTTGATCACTAATGGAAACGATCTTTTCATTTCCTCGTAGAAATTACCACAATTACGTGAATTTATCTCCATCTTTGGCTGATATGAATACAAATTTAACCCGAAATAAAACAAAAATGCTTTGTTTCATATCTACCACCAAAGAAAAAGATTTTCAGAATTCATATAGAACTAATTGTGTTAAAATGTTTATTTTCTGATCATAATGTAAATATGATCATACACATTTGACTAATTTATACTCTTCTGCAGAACAAATAATTAGTCTACATTATGAAAGATCAATTCTTGATCTTTGCTACTTTATATTTCTAAATCAAATTATTCTCTATGACT